CGCGCATGGTCCAGGGGTCAAACACCTTGGGCTCCCTCCCTAGCCAGCCAGGCCTTACACCCTCGAAGGGCGATGAATTGATTCCAGGTTCATCTGGGAGGATGAGAACACTGACTTGCACATCGCTGGCCCCCGGCAAGTCATTGTATCGGTCACATCGCATTTAATGAGCCATTATGACTCCGAATGCAGATAGAACGCGTGATATATCCCCCAAAGGGATTGATCAACTGCAGAGACTGGTTCCGTTTTGTCGCTCTCAATTAATATGGAATTTATACTGCACGCATCGCAGCAAAGATCAAATGGTCCATTTACACGGGACTGAACCGACTAGCCCAAAGTGATTGAAATGAAACTGAACTGAACTCTGAACTAGTGGCCACTAATCATGGAGCTGACTGACATCTGCAGCATAATGGAATTATCAGCTGGATTGTCCGAGTAATCTTTTGCTTAAAAGGAGCTGTCATGGTAGGCGATGAGTGACGGCGTACTGAGATGCACCCGCTTAGCAAAAACGGGGATTAGCAGCCCTACTCCTTCTTACCGAAGCCAAGTAAGCCTTTTATCCCTTCGAGGTCGCCTGGTCGATAGAAGACTCATCTGGGAGGACAACAGTAAGTTTCAGCTTCTACGAAGCAAGCGGTCTCGGCCTGAAAACATATCGGTACCAATACAAGCAATGGCGCTTCCGTTCGCTTGGATGTCTAAGTCTGTAGTAGCAAGGGCTGTGAGGTGACAGAATTGGAAAGACCCGTACCCATAAGAGAGTGGCTTGCAGTAAATGGAAGCTCTGGAGGTCATGAAAACCTATACTCTCACCGATGTGACAATCAGAAATCCTGCAGTGCTTCGCATCTAACAAACTTCTTGCTGTGACCATGTCGAGAAGCACTTCGACCTTAAAGCTTCATTCCGTGACAGCAGCTCGGACCTGTCAGGGTTCCAAGAACGATCGTGCTAGATGTTATTCGACTTACCAGAGAAAGAGAAACCGAAGATATCGCTTTCTGAGCACATCTTTCCTGCAGCTGGTCATGATTACTGGACGAGCATGAAGTATACTCGAAATCCCTGAGATCGAGTAGGCTTGGCCGCATGCTTCAACTTAACCTGAAGGTGTCTATGCTTCTGGTGAGATATTTTCATCTTGACACAATTGTTGTCGTGTCTCTGTCCAACACAGAACAAGATGACAGTTGTCCCAGACTGGAATATTCCACGAGTAACCAATTCCGTGCCATGTTCAAATGCCACGCCTACTCTGGCTCAGGGATAAGGAGTGTAGTTAGGATCAACTTCAGAATGCTGCTGATGATAGGGAGAATAGTGCGGGACAGAGACCAAAAACATCTGCCGAGAAAGCCCAGCGGCATTATCGCGACAACATGGGCAACGTGTGCAACTATAAGTCTCCCGGGCATTGATGATAAGCCTACACCTCGCTTCCTAATCCCTTTCGAGGTGCGAAAGGGGACTTTTTGTGGTTACCGACCCAAGTTACGAACCATGCAGGGCTTCTCCGTCAGCCGCGAAATGCGCCCTTCAGAAGCGAAGGCTGTTGAAATTTCAAACACAAACTGGACGTTCATCCACGTGGATCGTGGTTCTTGCCGTGTATGAGGAAAATGGGGCCGCGGCAGCAGCAGAGTGCCACCCTTTCCGGTCAAAAAAGCACGCGAACGGGGCTGGAGGCTAGTGATACCAGGATGTCGTCTCCATACTCCCCCACTGCCGCGGAGCCTGTCAGGCGCCTAGCCATAGCCAAACGTGCTACTTGACAATGTTGGCCTTTGAGGAGTATGGAGACGGTTTCGGTTACCACTACAGCCCCGCTCCCGTGCAGTTTTGAGTGGAGGGGGTGACGCTCCATTCCAGCTGCGAACCCATTCGCCTCGCACTTGGCAAAGTCTGTCTTCGAAGGTGAGTGTGCAGTTCATCTTCAAGTGGCTGACTCGGAGTGAAATCAGACCGCATGCACTCGCTCACCATCTGTGTGAAAAGGAACGAAAGCGCATTTTTTCCGGATCCAGAGATAGGAAGCGCGGGCTATGTGTAGGGCTTGTTTCACAATACAAACTTGATGTTAAAGGAGGTGGCTACCTGCACTTCACACGCTATGCGCAAAACTAGCACATTTGGGATTTTAGCGGAAGTCTGCTTGCCACTGTACTCGTTTTTGTGCCAAGTTAGGTCCCCTCGTGCTGGACCCCTCTTCCAGTTTCCCATCACACGCTCATAAAAATGCGTCGCATCTTATTTTGAAAGGAGAGCTTTGCATGAATCAGCGTTTTTTACGGCCTGCAGGCCATGATGCTGGTTCACGATCGTGCCAGCACATCGTCTTCGCCTTCAGACATGAATCATCTATAGTGCAATAATATTCACCTCGTGACCCGTTGGTCGCCATAAAAAACTGGCATGTGGCACTGAAAAAGTACAAAATGACTAGTGAAAGTACTAGTACAAGGGTTCGTTGTTAACACTGCGCTCACGCAGAAAAAAAAATGTGTAAAGCAGGGTACAGCACATTTAGGATAATCCCGCAAGAGTCGCACCTTTCCCTTGGGCGGGTTCTCGATATCTGGATTGAAAGGAATTTTTTTCTCTTGTCTCCTCCGGCCCCCGCCTATTTGCCGCAGCAAACCGATAAATCCACCGGTTTACGATGTTGCGAGGAGTTGGTGGCAACGGATTCCTCCGCTCGACGAACTCGGCCAATCTTAGCTGCTGGCAAAAGGATTTTTTTTTGGAAAACTGGAATTTATACGAGAGTGTGGGATTCGGCGAAAGAATAATGGTGGTAGTAAAGTAGCTCTAATTGTAAGTGGAAACTTGGAGATAGATGGACGTCGTATCCACACTGCCATTTCCCCAAACCCCATGCTTTCCTCGTGTACAGAACCAAACGCATATCGAGCATATCTCGATGAAGTGAGGGGAGGGTTGGGAGCGCATTCGCTGTCGCGAGAGGGGATTGTATTTCACTGACAAAAAATTTTTTAGGAACTTCGATTTTTGCGTTTCATGTGCTGCCATGTGTATGTTCTTACCTTTTGATAGACATTATGCTAGATACTATGCCTAGTGGTGTTGGCGAGAATGGCTTTAGAGATAGATTTATGGCGAATTCAATTCGATCTACTTAATTCTAACGGTAACATCTGTATATATTCAGAGAGGGCCAAACAACTTTGAAAGTGTATCGAATATAACCACAACGAATTGGAAATGCTTCCTGTGAAGACGCCGTCTTGGCCATTTCATTTCTGCCCAAGCGGAACAGCCATGCAGCAGTCGAAAGACGTTGAATGGAAAATATTCCTAGTCGGAGTGATGTACAGGCTCCGGAACTGTTAAGGGGAAAGCCAGGAAATCTCAATGGGTGTACTTGATCATTTCTGAGAGATGGCAGTAATCTGCTGTCAGAGAAATTCTGACTTTCCATTTTTTCCGCTTCATACGCGCCACAATCTTCTCGTCTGGCACTCAAACTAATATTGCTGACGGCTGGTAGGTTTGTACTCCACCACCCGCTTGACGACAAAATTTTTGAAAGGCTTTGGAAACGTTAAAATGGTAGGCAGAGGGAGGGAAAGTGAGTAAATTTCGGGACGAGAATGGTGTTCTCTGAGATTTTCCCACAACTTGGGCGCCCCCCGTTCAAGAGACCGTCATCAAACAAAACCCAGCAGGGGAATACAAGAGTTGAAGGCACGCCATATGATGTTCAGGCACCTTCTTTGAACATTGTAGTCCTGCCTGAAGGGCGTGGAGGATGTATACTTTCGCATCTCAAAAATATATGAGAAAATCGCAAGCTCGCGACTAGGCCACGGCTCCACCCACCGGTCACGACACGCCCAGCTTTCTTTTCTAAAGACTTCCTGTTGTGCGGTTGTTCCACTGCTAAAGCTCTCCACTCCAACTGAGAGTGAGGTGCTATGCAGAAAGAGCAGATGACAAGAGGAACTCGTCCGACCACGCCCTTTTTTCGTTTTATGCACGGTCCTACATAATGCATTTCGGGCGGGATTTCCCTGCTTTTTCTTCACTTTTGTGTTGCCATCACGCCATTGGTTTACATTACAAACCACCAGTCTCGGACGTGCGGCGTCTCTTCCAGAATAAATTACTCATTAAAACCCTATCATCTTGAGTTCAAAATATCGACTGATATTCAGACCTTCATTAACATGCAGTCATGAGATTAAATACAGGGTACTTGCTATACATAGAAAAAAAATGAACAACCGTATCACATAGTGAAGCTAGTATAACGACCGTACGTAGAGCATTCTGCCACTACTACAATTTTACTTGGTAAACGAAACAAATAAACTCGATATGGAAGCTTCTTCTCAAGTCAGATGAGCATACAATTCACATGAACATCTATCTATCTACAGTTCCGAGAAAATAAAGAAAAAACCGAAGATTTCTATCATTTTGCTCGTTTACACACAGATTTTACTAATATGCATGAAAAATTATTTGATTCCTAGGTATACATGCAGCATTAGCGTGAATGAGTGAAGTCAGAGCATTTCACCTATTTGTGGTGCATATTGTAGCTGCGCGACGCGCCATTATGCGATGCGTCACTGCGTAGCAGCCCCGCACCTCTCAATAAGGTGCTGCCAGTCGCACATGAAAAAATCATTGAGCACCTTTCGCGCTAACCGCAATGTGCAAGAGGTTTAATAGTGCTGAAAAACGCTTCTTAAAGTAGGTTCCACTTAACGCGCACTTCTATGAAGAGAATATTTCGCGGAAAAAAAATCGACTTTGAGCGGGGGGTAAAAAGGCATGAGTAAAGTGCAAGTAGATGATACATATACAGACAATGAGAGGTTATATACCAAGAGCTTTTAGCATGTCATGGATAGTAAATGGATCATATCGAAAGATGAAAAGGAGTCGGTGTGTAGATAAAGCCACAACTCGATTGAAGGCGATTTAAAACACGTTTCCATGACCCAAAGGCAGTGAGCTGCTCACGTTTTCACGGCAGTCGACGACGGATTCACTTGATGTTTTGGCAGTACGCCCCGCTCCACAAAATTCTCCCTCGATCGTAGATTTTCTCTGAGTCGACTCAGACGATCAATCACTTCTTGCTGTTTATCCGTAACCTTTTTCGCATTGAACGAACGATAAGTCGGGTTCTGAAGAAGCAATTTGTAAACAGTGATGTGGGGGAAAGTATAAAAGAAACTAAACCAAGTAGCTAGCACAACAAACGAACCAAGCTTCTGAATCGATTCATATTTGGCGTATCTTCAGCGAGATTCGCAGCGGATCCACGCCACCCGGCAAGGTTCCCCATAGAACCGCGTAGCGACTGAATTGATGAAGTACGAGCTCAGGTTTGGGCCTCGGCTTTGCGGCGAGCAGTCTGCGATAGAAATCGCTGGAAACGATGAATCGGTAATGCTACATCAGAAGAATTTATCAACTTAAGCCGCGTATTTTTCAAGCACTATTGAAACGACAAGCCAGCCAGTGACAAGGACACCTTTAATTTTTTCAGTATTTATTGCAGCCCCTCCGATATGCGAGCAATGCCGTTTGGGCTAATGCCGTTTGGACTCCAGAAATTTCGGCTCCGAGCTCATTTTAAAAGTGGCAAGATCACCAAATCCGCTAAAAACTTGTATATAGGGGTAATTCAACATCCTGATCACGAATATGACATTCATTTTGGCGCTGGCGCTAATGGATGACACTACGGTTACCTGCGCTCTGCTAAGGCTGAGCCCAGGAGGTAATCGTAGTGTCCTCTCTTGGCGCCAGCGCCAAGAATGAGTGTCATACTCGTAATCAGGATGTTGAATTACCCCTATATACAAGTTTTTAGTGGATTTGGTGGCTTAGGCAATTTGAAAATGAGCTCGGAGCCGAAATTTCTGGAGTCCAAACGGCATTAGCCTCAGACCTCACGATGACGCGAGTCGACGCTCTACAACTAGAATGGAATGATACACACGGGAATACAGCAGCAGACGGATATCGATCGGCGCTGGCCGCTAGTGTCTTGGGAGAGTACAGAAGTACACGAGAGAAATAGACTGTGTAAAGGCAGCGAAAGCTCCTCTATTATCCTATACTCTCTCCCTCTCTCTCATAACACAAGCCGCTAGTGCCGGTCGATACCTGCGGCTGCGTTGGTGCCAGTAGCATCGGAGCGCCATGTGGTCGACGTGCGATGCAGCGCGCCATCACGAAGTCTAAACGCTGCCTTCAAGCCGGCAAGCCCAGACTGAAAGTTTTTCCAAATTTTGTTCTCTTTTCGAAACATCACGAACTTCGTTTCTTCACAATTTCCTTGAATTTTTAGAATGTTGACTGGTACTTAGTGCGAGCGGCTTAGGGGCGCAGTGATTGTTCATTACTAAATTTTTGCCTAATCAAAAAAAGACGGTGGCAGACCTCTCCATGTTTGCTGCATCCTTTCTCCGCGAGTCTCTTCACATACGTCGAGCCTCGAGGGGTCTGATTGAGGTAAGCCGCAGGAGTGCTCAACGTGCTTCGAATCTGAAAAGTGCAGCTGTTTAGAAATGTCGGCATAAATATCTCAGAGATATAAATCACTATCAAGTGCCACCCCGACAGCTGGACACAACATGCCAATTCATGAGATTAGGCTACCCATCCATTGAAGAGAATGAAGTGAAAGGCGTTGATTAATTAACTTTTAGGCTGCGCCATGCAATCGACCTCCATGCAGTATCGCAGTGACATTCTCACGCTAATAATGTCTCGCTTTTTTGTATAACAGTCCACTTTCAAGTAAGTGTCAATTGACCGCAAAGGTTAGAGAGCCTAGCTGTTTTGGGATCTATATAATGTGGCGCGGGGTGTCCTATTCATTGTTAACAACAGTTTTAAGAGCACTTTTTTACCCTGCACTGCTACACACATAGAGAGCGTACCCTAAAAATTAAAAAGAAAGTTCCAAAGAACCAACCTCCTTTTTATCATATCCCTTCACCATTACAGCCAAAATTATTCAAAGGAAACAGCCCAAATTACAAAGAATGTTCTAGAAACCTTTCAAGCGGCGAAGGTCACAGAATATTTCGGAACTGAGCAGGGTCACTTGGACCATTGCATCCTCCAAAGAATCTGGAGAACCTGTTAGTCAAAATAACTCCCTTAGGCCGACGAAAGTAGAATGTGCTTATAAAAGCGATCCCGCTTACAAACCATTCGCAGCCACCCTTTACAAGTCCCCAATCCCTAAGACTATCCCACTTTCGCGGCTTTACAGTAAGCAACGGAGGTGCTGCGACCCTCACAAGTGGCGGTTCTGATGCCTCTCTAGTTCTTCCGGCCATCGAAGCTCAAACGCTACTTTCTGTTGCTTTTTCAGTATTTACACCTCGTTTTTGGTTCCTTTTTTCAGCAGGCCCGGACAACTCGTCCAGAACGGGGTATACTACATGTTTTTTCACGGTTTTCTTTTCCCTGGTTCGTAGCTGAACGCCAGAACCCGCCATACAGAGTCGTAGGGTTTGTTTTTATATAGTCCAGATGTTGTGGTGATAGAACAGCATATAAAGACGCACATCTGCGTCCCCGCGGCTTACACTCTACATGCTAGAAACACTGCTCATTTCATAACCCTTGGGCAGCACACCAGGTCTGTAAAAAGGTTGATTCATGGCTTTAAAGAAAAAAGTCATACTTTCAGCTCGTTATGTGTTGACGTCAGAATAGACCTTGTTGCACCACATGCATCATGGCCAATGACTATTCCAGGAACTGGAGACTGCCTAAATACACAAAGTGGTTACTCAACGGCTACTCAAAGTATATCAGGCAATATTTGATGGATATGGGGGGGGGTGACTAGTAGTATAATTATCCACACTATAATTCCCGCTAAAAAATCAGCTATTTTTCTTAAAATTAGAATTGTTAGAAAACAGGAAATGAACTGGAAGATGAACAGACTCCGCTAGACCAATGACTAATCGTAAGGGGGAAAAATGTTTGCAGAAGACGCCCCCCCCCCCCTTCCAAATTTTCTCCAATTTCATGATCCACTCCCCTCTTTCCCACTCTGCCTACCATCTCCCTAATTCTCCCATGGAAAGAAATTCCAGTCAAAAGTCAACAACTGCACTCATTTTCGAGAGGGCACATACGAAGTCCCTCCCTCCGGCGACTAGACTTACCATTTCCCCCCCCCCCCTCTCGCTGTCCCTAATGTCACGGACGTGCCCTGATCGCAGGCCCCAAGAATTGTAAGATTGCACTCTTGCTACAGACTCATACTCACCCTGCTGACTGAGGACTGGTACTTCCAGAACTTGTATTTCCTTCATGATTCTCTTCTGTCGATCCACCACTGCTTCCAGCAGAGTCCACATTCACAGGTGAATCCGTCAAACCACGCATTCTGTGTACGCGACGATTTCGAGTGGCGACGGGCGAAAAGAGTGGGTTCTGAAAAATAGAGTGAAGGAATTCCCTGCTCAATAAAGTGAAACGCAAGCAACACGAACAGCAACAGCGCAAATACTGACAATTTCCTCTAAATGGCTACACGTGCTACGAATTGAAAAGGCAATCGTTTTTGCGGTGATGTAATGGTTTCATTCTGATTCATGACTGTGTTTTTTTTCTGTGCAGCAGACCAGGTCGATGAGTAGACGACGGAGACGGAGCCAGTCAATTCCTAAGGGAAAACGAACTATTAGCTGTTTTCAGTATAAGTACGTCCTGCCATCAATGGAAATTTTGAAGAATAAGAGCACCCCTTCAGAACATCCCACTCCATTTTTTTTTCAAAAACCGCAGTAGAGCAGGGGGAGGGAGGGAGAGGGTAGCGACGTCCAAATATGACCCCTCATTCCCTCCAGTGAGCAATTACTGCCTCTCCCTCTCTTCAACAACCTAATACCGTATTTCAACATTAATGCTGAGGATTTAGCCCTAAGGTAATGGAACGCGTCTGGCCGACATATTCTTACTAGGGTACAGTCGACGAACCAAAAACACCGGGTGCAGTTCAGAAGGTCCGCATGGCAGCATCGCGCGTCCCATCTGCGAATCCCAAATAGTTGTCTCGAAACAGCACTTAGGCGTCAAATTAACTGCGTCCTCTACGTCCTACACTATTTATTCCACGACCTTACATTGAAAAAATCTGGAAAATTCTGACAATCAATAAATTTTTTTCAATATCAAGGTTTGAGGAGCACTATGCCATTGTATTAGGTTGGTGGATAAAGTCGTTGAAGTGAAAAATCATTGATTTTTTTGGGAATTATTAGGGTCGTTGATGTCAAGTTTTCAGCTAATCGCGAATGATATACTTCCTCTCTTTTATGTCTTTTTTCGATGAACAAAATATATTTCAAAAAAACCCACGTAACAGTATCGGCCTGAATGTTTACAAAAAAATCAGTGTTTCAGTGAAATTGACAGGTTAAATTTTCGAACTTTTTCCAAAAAAAAACCGTCAAAAAAAGGAAAGAGGAAAAAAGGATCAATGTTACAGTGAGACCTATCGAGGTTATAGTGAAGGATCTCATACAATAGATATTTCTCAACGTGATAAGTTTTTTCAATAATAAAATCTCAACGAATTCGTGGAAGAAAAACAACTCAGAGGTAAAAAATTGCAAAATCGTTTCATTAAGCTTACAACCCCAATATCTACTCTTATGGACTGCGAAAAATTGTCCCCTGTTGGCAAAAGTGTAGACCTTCGAATAGGGTGCTGTTCGGCTCGGAAGGGGCACTTTGCACAAGTTAGTTCCAGATTACAGATCACACCTTTGTGAGACTTCTCTAAACTGCAAACGAAATTCCTGCTATTCTAAAGCTTAACAGGAGTTTGCAGGGGCCCACAGGGGACATCGAAAGTGATCAGTGAGAACCAACAAAATGCCACCATCAAGCCAAACTACGCCTCAGCTAGTTTTTACATCATCTAAATTCGTTTTTTTATAGATTCTTTTTTGGATTTGACGTTAGACTTCATATTGTACAACTTTTTCACCAAGCTGAACTATAAACTTATAACTTTGGCTATTCAACGGTGAAGGCGATCTGAGGGTAAACCATCCCTAGTAACCTTCCATTGGGGGTCGTAATTCATCGCTGGGGAGAGATGTGGAACTATGGAGGAACTTTCTCGAACCACGATAAAACTTTTTCCCGTTCCAGGCGCGCTATATTCACATCAGCATGCTGTACCCTGAATCTGGCAGTGGTCCTCAGTGAAAGAAGGAAGTATATTATGAGTGTAGAGCCTTGAGATGAGTTTTTCCGGATCTCCTGTACTAGAGCTCCAAAGGGCCGTGTAAGACGTGGACTGGCAGAATTTTACGCAAGAGTGCTGTGTCGAGTCAACTATCTAGGAGAACTAGCTACAGACGGCGCAATTCGGATCCGCTGCACTAGTGCTCTGAAAAACGAGGAAGCCAAGAAGCACAGAAATTTCTAGAACAGCAACAAAAGCAACAGTTCGGAATGTTATCGTATTCTGTCACGATTAGAAGAGTCTCTGCTATTCAGTCAAGACCAACAAATAGCTCGTAATGGTGCACAAGGCTACACCGGCCGCAAACAACACAACAAAACTAGTTTTGCTTTGAAAGAGAGGACGTCTGCAAGGAGATAACAACACACCACATTCACTATACCATGATTTATATGACTTTTTGAAGGCACCATGAAACGAGCAGGCATTAAGACGGTCCCGTCGCGATGGTTTAAAGTACTTTACGGCCTGGTGTTAACTACAAGGCTAATGTATAACGGGCTGGACTTTGGAGGAAAGGAAAATTAGCCTCACTGGAAAAAAATCATATAACACCATCTGGGCAAGAAGAAGAGGGAGGCTGTTACTAAGGTTTTTGGCGAGCGAGTTAGGCAACTGACTCAATGCACGTCGTACGTTGCGGATCCCCAGCGAGGGGTTCGCATTTGGCCGCTGGAGTGGGTGGAAACGTTATCCCAGTTTTTCTTGTTTCATACGACTATAAGCTCCCTCCCTCCCTGCTCGACTTCGGTTTTTTGAGGAAAAAATGAAGAGAAGTGGTTCTTCTGGAAAAAGGTAGGAATTTAGGCGAATTCAAGAAAAATCTCAGGGTAGAATGACGGATGAGGAACTGGGAGACCGTACCAAAGGAGGAAATGTCGAGAAGCAGATCGTGTTCTGCAGAAATTCTTCCTAATGGCAGGGCTGGCCCTAAGTTGACGAGGAACTCGACCACATGCAGAAAAGGAACTTGCCACTGACACACAGCAAAATCAGAACAGACGTTATCTTATCATCTTGCTATACAGTACTTTGACAGCAGCTTAACTGGAGCCATATCGAACGCTACTGCAGATGGGAAAGACTCAAGGAGACGGGGACAGGGGGAAGCTAGTTGAGAAAGCAGCGATGGGCGCTAATGCATCTTCAAGACTTTCTCGCGTCGCATAACTAACGCAGAAAGCACGTTGTGTAGACTAGCGCATGCAATGAAAAGGTGGAATAAAAGGGTCAACTTTCGCGCCTCCCCATTGCCATTTAATGAAAACAAAAGGGCAATTGCGCTCACAAAAAACCTACCCTAAAACCCTAAAAATATTCTTCCAATGCTATCTTGGAGCCATAAATCGATCGATCGGCAGCGATGTGCCCTGGCTCCAAAGGAAGCTAAAAACCCTCTACAATTTTGATTTGCTTCAACAGGCACTCTTATCACTCGGCTATGGTTCAAAACTTCTAGAATGCTCCCTATATAGCTGGTCGCCATATGGAAATGGCCAAATGTAACAGCTCAATTCGTTTGTTCCGGCGCCAAAGCGACTACACAACTCTGCTCAGTATAATGTTTAACAAATCTGAAGGGATACTTGCGAAAAGGGTGGGGTGAAAATTGAGGACAAACGCCTACTTCGATCCAAAACCTTCCCCAATGAGCATCCTCTCCATTTTAGTGACTACGAAAACTCTAAACCGAAACCGACCCCCCTCTAAACACACAATTTTGCCCTAGATGTGCCATCAGGACAAATCTAGTATGCCCACCCCAAGCCTTTCAGGAGCGGGAGGCGAAAATCCACTTCAGAGGCGGGAGGGCGATCCCCCCCGAGCTCTCTGAGAGAGAGAGAGAGAGAGATTTGCTGACTTCTTGGAGCACACCATGACCCCACGAGAAGATCTCCTATGATCAAATATCCGCAGTGATGGGTGATGAGGGGGGGGGACGAGGAGCGAGGGGTATATATACCTCCAAGCGTCACAAATACAGAAATTTCCCAGCCGACAAAAAAGGGGGGGGGGGCAGCTAAATACAACACCCAGATATCTCGCATTGAGGAATCCCCAACGTCCATGTTTCCACTACAGGAAACCGTTAGGAATACGTAGGACGTCAAATAAAAGCTGTAGAAAAGTGCGAAGAATCAGGGGAAGCAAGGAAAGGTCAGGACGCCACTTCGCAATACATTTCTAGGGAATGCCAGAAAAAGTATTGGCGCAGTTCGGCTTGGTGAGGGCACAAAGTGGTCTTCAGCGAGTCCGTACACGCTACTGTGTAAAAACCTGTAAATTCTTACAACCAGAGCGACTGATTTATACCACTTCGCAACTTCACAAGCCTTTAATGGTTAGTTAGTGGGAGCAACAAAAAGAACCTAGCGAAAGTGAAGAATGCTTCCCTCCAAGTTGAACAGTACCGAGCTATTCATTGAAGAATGCTACGTAAAATTCAAGAAACGGTCCCTTGCCCGTCGGTTTACCAAACATTCGGATGTCTCATTCACTTCAAACGAGGAAAAGCAGCGCTAGGCCAGCAATCATTGCTCAATGGCCCGTCACGGTCGACGGCTACGTGATCGTACCATACCATCACAACTTTCAAATAAACGCACGCTTCATCACCACCGTGGAAAATTCGCATGTTTTCTCCCAAGGAAACAATTTTCTGCACTTTTCCCCTGTTACTACTCCAAAAACCAAAAGCAATTCCGCTGAAACTGTGTCTATACCTATTATTCGGTGCCCTAATTATGGAAGTGACACTCATTTTGGCGCTGATACCATTTGGCTCCGCTAGGCCCCAATTTGACGCCACCACCTTTCTCACCAAAACCGACGCAAGGTTATATACGGGGTTCCTTTCCATTCTGATCACGACGCTGACACTGGCTTTTGTAGCTGGTGCCAATTCGCGATAAAGGCGCCGACTGGCGCCAACACCTCTCACCAGAATCATGAAAACTTGCATAGAAGGGTCGACTAATAATACCCTGATCACGAAAATGGTATTCATTTCCTGACACCGTGCAATATAGCGCTCTGCTAAGGCTGAGCCTGGGAGGAGGAGTGATTCCCTTCCTCCCCGACTAAACCTTAGCAGAGCACAGATGATCAGACTACCCTACATTGGTG